AATATGTTCAAAGCAACTGAATSACAGATTTAGAGACAGAGAACCATCTAGAATATCCTTTAAAAAAGTAATGCGTTTGCTCAGATGTAGAAAGTTAAGAAAAAGACAYAAGAAAATGCTTATTAAGAGCACACCTGTTTCATCTGTATGATACAGCATTGCTACAAATTATAACTATTGGAAATTGAAATATATTAACAGCTATAATAGTTTCTATAGTTCCTTTTTTAGGACAACTCATAAAATATCAGTGAAATATAATGCATGTAAAAAAACACTTCTATTGTCTGGGGACATTGAATTGAATCCTGGTCCTGTAACTGATAATAATAATATTGAAGATATCTGTTTTTATAGTAATGGTAACTTTACATTGAGATACCGAATGCTTCGRCATGGTTTAACACCACTAGATGTTGGTGGWGGAGGTGATTGCTTTTTCAAATCAGTATCACATCAGCTTTATGGTAATTCAAATAAACATGCAGAAATTAGAGCATTAGGAGTGAGATATTTAAAGGACAATCCTGAACGATTTATTGAGAGTATCATAGATTCATCTTGGTCAGAGTATTTGASTAATATGTCTCTACAAGGAACATGGGCCAATCATATTATAATTCAGGCTGTTGCTGATGCTATGAGTTTAAAGATTCATATTATAGAATCAGATTCAAACATTAGGGAAGTAACAGTAGTTGAGCCAGCAAATAACACAACAAATRTTATTAGAACAATATACRTAGGACATATAGGGCAAGTGCACTATGTATCAGCATGTTTTATTTCACATGAACAAGGTTCAAACAATATTGACAGTGAMAATACAATTTCATRTCATCCAGAAAAAGTAAAATGTACAAGTGCAAGTAATAGTTCTAGTGAAACAAGAAAACGAGACAGAGCTGCCTATATGAGGCAATACAGGCAATCCAAACAAAATAATACTTCTGAATCACCAGAAAAAAAATCAAAGAGAAATGAATACCAAAGAAAATATAGAGAAATGAATGCATCACCACAAACAAAATCAAAGAAAAATGAATACCTAAGAAAATATAGAGAAATGAATGAATCCCCAGAAAAGAAATCAAAGCGTAATGAATACCAAAGAAAANGTGCATGGTTATAGAGGACCATAGAGCGGGGCATTCCTGTTTGCGAAGATCGCTCGCCACACGGCGCCGAGCTGTCTGATTTTGATACTGTAGTATACTTGACCTTTAAATTACTGCAATATTCTTACTATGTTTCACGCGAAAGACTATCAGAGTGAACGATTTGATTCTACGCTTTTAAAGATTTGTCAAAAATTATTGCATATCTAGTTCCTTCAAAAGTTGCTAAATATTACATGAAAAGTAATAAACAAGGAATTACTTTCACAAWTTTTTTCTCTTAATATAGTTTGATTTCAAATCACTTTGTGATTTATCAGTATAGATGAACTGCATGCCTTTGGTAGCACTATTCTTTACATCTAAACCAGACCCTCCTTAGAGCGTCAACTCGGTCAAACTATTTTTGAAAATTGAGGAAGACAGTATATTACATGCCCCTGGTGGTTGGTCAAACACAAGAAAAGTTTTAAATGAGTTCATTTTGAATAAGTACGGAGCACTTTTCAACACCTTTAGGGCACGAGTACACCCTGCTGTCAGGGTCTAGTTTTGAATAAGTACGGAGCACTTTTCAACACCTTTAGGGCACGAGTACACCCTGCTGTCAGGGTCTAGTATCAAATATTCTTTGTTTTTTACTAATGTAACAATACTTTATACATTTTTATTTAATTTTATTCTTATGAACATTGTTATGAAGATTTTACCGACTAAATAAATGTAGACGTAGAACAATTGGCAATGTTAAGATAAATAAACTGTTCAAATCATTTGTTAATAAGCCTATTATTAGGTTGTCATGTCAGGTTTTTTTAATTAATTACCATATTTAAGTCTCTTTATTGTAGTACTCCAAGTTTAATTACATCATCACTTTATTCAATAAAGCTTGCTTGTTTTTCTTTTTTGCTTCTCGAATGATTGATGAACTTTCAAAGCGCACCTAACGTACACCTACAGTCGCCGATGGATATTTTAGAATCAACGATTTTCAAAGAGAAAATAAAAAAAATAATTGGAATGACTTAAAAGAGTTCTTGTCATACATCGGAAACTCAGTTTAACTCAAGTTCATTAAAATAAAGGACACGGCCAACTGTATGACCACTGAGCCAACATCACCGACGATGCACGACAAGGTCATAAAAAAGCCTTCGAATGGTGGGCTTGATTGATTGTACAAAAACAATCATGCCAGGAGGGATATTAAATGGAGAGAATTACTTGTTCATAATTAGAAATACTGAAACTTTTTGTCAGTAGAAATGCGTTTTGATGATTTCATAAGAAATAAGTCTACTTGACAACCTCTCATAGAAAAGGTGTTCAATCTCATGAATTTCTTTTCTCCTCTTTTCATTCATCCTTGAATGACGTGGTAAGATTCACGAACAGATCCGTGCCGAATAATGAAACTCTGAAATCCGGAAAGAGAAAAGGCAAAAAAATTTCCGCTCAATAAACAAACAACAAAATACGAAAAGAAGACAAACAAACTGTTGAAAAATAAAAATTCTCAAAAGGAAGGTTGGATCTAAAAGGATATCAAATACTGAAATGAAATATAAAAAGAAACAGGAAAAAAAATTAATCGTAAAAAAAATTCTTTATCTCAACAGACAGCTGGGCATGGCGAGAAAAAGCGTCAGGATTGGCTCATCTATAACAATACTTCCAAAGAAAAAACAATTTGTAGTTTAGTGTTCACTTAAAACGGAAGCAATTAATACCAATTACTCTTACTCACTTGATGGAACCCTATTTTCACTCGAAAATCATTGTTTTTCTGCCGAAAACGAAGTCTTTGCTTAACTTAGAAGGGATCCGTCTTTATGATATCTCCGAGTTCATCGCTGAACAGTGAGCCTGAAATTAACGCGGAAAATGGAAACGCGATACATCGATGATAAAATGCAGAAAGTCTGGGCGGCTCTTTTGGGCATAGAGGCGTTCTTCATAATATTTAGTAACATAACAGCAATGCGAATTTTTATGAGAAAAAAGTTTACGATCTGCAAGTCATCGTATCTCCTGGTAAACCTAACTATTGCAGATATACTAGTGGGTTTTGCTGCTTTATGCGTGTTACTCGAAGTACTGTACGCCAGGGAATCCATGTATATATCATGTGGAAATGTTATCAATACAATATCGTTTACTTTTTCTATATTCACTCTAATTGCTTCACTGAATAGCCTGGCGCTGATGGCGTTTGAAAGAGCTCTGGCAATAGTCATTCCATTTCGATTTCGTCATGTCAAAACTAAGCACTACGCTGTCTGTATTGCTGTGTCTTGGTGCCTCTCGATGTTGGTGCTGTTAAGAAACTATTACTGCTCTAGTAAAGGTTCTTCCAGGACAGTGTTATGGTCATTCAACATGGTCGTTGTCATTACAAGTATTTTAACGATTGTTTTATCTTATACTGCGATATATATTAGGGTGAAATGCCGTCCTTCGATTCAAGTGAACACTACGATGAGGAACAATATCAGATTAACCAAAACAATTTTAATGACAACACTGGTCGCTCTCTGCACATGGCTTCCCCGCTACATTGCACACATGTTGAAAAATAAATTGTCGATCGTCCTGTCGGATGATGTCAATATTTTCCTGTCAATACTTATTTACAGTAATTCGTTTGCTAATTTGTTTGTATATGCTTTTCGTATGCCTGCTTTTCGTAAGGAACTAAAGAACATGGTGATGTCAAAATGCCATTCATTGTCTCCTACCAATAAAGTTTACCAGGCAGAAATGCAGGTGCAAGAACCAGGAAATAATGGTAAGGACATTAATTCTGAGAAATATTCAGATAGACTGCAAGCCCGCAGCTCTCAGACTGTATCATGCAGCAAAGTAATTGTTTCGGTTTAGTCGGTTCTTCCTTAAGAAAAGTTTCGCTCTATATAGCAGCGTATTGGACGCAATACCATACGGCTGCAATGGACAACTAAATCATTAAAATCTGAAATTCATGAAAAAAAGACATCAAAATATCATTGATTGTAATTTAATAATGTATATAATGTAATTACACAAACGAGAGTAAACTATATAGCATTATATCGAATTGCATGGTATTATATTGACGTTTTAGTCAATTCTGGACATAAGTTACAAAGTTAAGTATGTTAATCTGTTAATCAATAATCATCCTAGTAAATTAACAATAAGCTAGACAACAAGCGGACCGATCATTACAGTGTAAGTAAACGATTATAAAAAGATTGCACTTCTGTTGCGCAATATTCTACATTAGAAATTCATCTAGAAATATTGTAATGACATCAAGTACAAAGAAACCTTTGTCAAGTTCTTCTATGTATCAAGTATGGAGGTAAGAGCAATTCTTAACGACGGAAAGCCTAAGAATCACTAGAAAAAATTACGTACAAATTCATTTTATTTTGGACACTTACATCATATTTACATCAAATTCTCAACCTTTGAAGTGCGCGATTTTTTTCCAGAGTGAATCGTCATCCTTTTGATGAAAAACAATAAACCTGTGTTTTATTTCAATTTGACTATTCTCATTTCTTCCATTCTGCTCGCTTGAAGGGGTTCATGGGAAGAAGAGAAACAAATGGAAGATTTATTTAACCGTAAACATGCAGTGGTTGTGCTGTTGTAAGACTGCGCATGCGCAAAGAGGAACATGATATTGATTTATGAATCTTTAAGGCTTGTGTTCAAAATCTTTGCAATCTGAAAATTCGTAGAATTAAAAATATTAACACTCGCAGTATTTTAGGAAGAAATCCAGACAAATGAACCTATTGCCGGCCAACAAATAACAAAACGAAAAAACAAAAATAACTACAGTACCAATATGTATGAATTTACCATCATTTGTCACATCCATAGATTTCAAAGCCGGCACCAAAGTTACTATACCACTTCTTGATCTTAAACTGTATCCACCGACACGTGATCTTGTTAGTAAAATAGTGTCTCAAAATACGGCCTTCCTTGGCGCCAGAAAATACCTGGAATATAGAGAATATGCCACAAAGTAATCTTTAGTGGTCGATCGTCAGTCTATATTCTTACTAGTACCTTAACTATAGAGTTTTCCGTGTAATTGTTCCAGGAGATTGTATCGTTTGAGTACATGACTGTGTATTCTTGTAAATATGACCGTTGTCCTTTATATCCAACATCAGAAACACCTGTAACATATTTTTGGCTTCCCAAATCAACCTGATTTAAACAAAAAAATCTGATTTAATTAATAGCTCTGCATGTTTACACAGTAAATAAATAAAGAATGGCAGACACAATTGCTCGGTTTTAATCATTTCCAAGACATTCAAAAGACAAAAGTTAGACCGGCGGCCATGTTGTCAGTATTTTGCTATGTCTTAGTCGTGCCTTTCGATGTTGGTACTCTTAGGAAACTATTACTTCACATTCCCAAGAGATTCAAAAGACAAAAGACCGACGGCCATGTTGCCTGAATGAACAAAAGATACTAATGAGAAATCTTTGTTAAAATTCATCCAAAATGGCCGCTGTGACATACACTACAAACGATTAATACAGCCTTTTGCACAAATTATGAGACATTTTTATATATATAAATATACCTAACCAAATATCAAAAACACCCCAGAAATTATGGTATATCTCTATTATATTTTGTCATGATTGCCTAGCATCAGGTTGTTACAGACNGCTACGATGTAGCCTATCGCATCCTAAATGAACAGGCACAGTCTATTTTTGCATATTTAGAGTACATTTTTACAGACTCTCATTATGTTTCGAAGGAATCCTGTCATGTAATATAATATACACTGGGTAATATAATGGTAGAAACTGTCGCTAAAAACAATTGTGAGACCTAGTAATGGAGCTTAATGGCAATGCACCATGAATAACACTGGAAAAAATCGCGCACTTTATGTCTAATTCACATCATTTTGGACACTTACATCATATTTACATCAAATTTACAACCTTTAAAGTACGCGATTTTTTCCAGTGAAACAGGGATATAACAAGGCTTACCGTTACACCCGTATAACTCTRCACGAAAGCAAACTGTGTTAGTAAAACCTTTAGCAATTATTCGTAGAGTTCTCAAGTAAATGTTGAAGTCCAGTTGGTGTCGGATTACCTCTCTTTGACCAATGTTGCCTTGAAACAGCTTTGGAGAAAAGTAAAAATGACTGGTTTACAAAGGGAAAAACAGATAAAGTTATCCATACCGTAAATTTTACATGGATTTTACGCCCTGGAYACGGGTAAACCCAGTTGAATRCGCTATCAACCCCTTAGTACGACTGACACCAAGGAAAAATGAGTTGATTTAGATAAAGTTGATCAGAAAAGGCAAATCCCTTCAGATAAAAAGATATCAAATTGAAGATATGATTGGCAAACCTTSTCTTTTCCATAATCAAGTAAAGAAACATGATCTACACCATCTCTACTGTATGCCAAGGAAAATTCTGTTAAATAGCTATTTGAATGATGCCATCCTTGAAGAGCAACTCCACTGACCAGCTTACCAGCAGGCCCAACATCTATCTGAAGAAACTCATCAATCTCGGCTGTGTGAGTGCAAAATCCATTATGTTTAGCAACATGTAGTCGCGAACGGGAAGCAATGTACCCACTGTTGCTGGATGAAGTTTGAAGACCAACAATAGGTATCTTATGGTTTTCCATTCCTAGTGGTTCGCCACACTCTGTGAATAATCAAAGACTATCATTCAATCATTTATGGTATACCACGCAAATTATGCCTGTAAAATATWTTGTAACATCATGACACATCATTCTTAACTCTTTCTCTCTCTCTCTCTCTTTCACGAAAGATGAACGCACGACTACAAATTATTGATTCAGACATCATCTAAGGCATGACTTTATATACAAATAGCAACAACAATAAGGCAACTTTTTTTCTTGTGAATCTCAGTGTTAATTGCACTGGCACAGCTAAACTGCTTGTATAGATTTTGGAGTTAAGTTCTTACCTTGACCTGTGTCTTGATCAAGTGTTCTAGAACATATAGCGTACCTACCTTGACACCCAATTAACTCCATTCTCATGCATATATGATTTTGCCAAGTTTTCGGATGAATTCGTACAAATCGTCCAGTCATTTCTTCACTAATATTGACCATCTTTACTTCGTATTTGTTGGCATTTCCTTCAAATACCTGGAAAAGGTAGTTAAAAGTTTTTCATAGTTGGATACAACACATTAGTAAATTAGGACAAAACAAGGTTAGTTGAACAACCATGGAAAACCCCCCTATCATAATGGACACAGAAAGCCGTCCGCAAGTGTCCGTAATACAGAGTTGTCCTCAAGGAAAGGTAAGATATTGCACTGCACCTTGACAGTGGTTGCCTGTTTGATGTCGGTCCAATTGTAACCGTCTCTAGAAKACGACAAGCTAAACGACTTCACCCAGGCGTCTGCCAGCTTTGGGTTTTCTGTAAGCTTTTCTTTGCCTTGGACAAGAACACTTCGTATTTTATGTTGGGAACCAAGATCGACTTGTAGAAACTGGTTGACATCGTTGTACCTAGAATGAC